TACTAACAATGATAGAGTTCCATATAATATAGCCGAACCAAGGCTTGCTTTAAAAGCTAAAATGTTTCTATTAATATCCATAAAAAACAGAATGAAGTTTAGTTTTTTTAAATATGTATAGACAGGACTGGTCCTAAGGACAAGCCCAAAAGGCATAGACTTTAGGCCCCTAAATTTTTCTGGTTTGTTTCTTTTTTTTTGTGAAAAAAATACTCAAATTGAAAATATATCTATAAAACCCCTAAAATTTTTTTTTTCGCCGAGGACTCTCTAAATCTCATGGCCGGCCATAGTGAAACTTTCTGATAACGATCCGTGCTCGTAACAGTATTTTCTTCACATTTCTGAATTTTCATTCTAACAAATACGTATAATATAAGTCACAACATTAATTATGATTCTAACAACAGGTGTTGAGGATAGCTTTGTTTAATTGCTTGTTGGTTCTTTGGTTTCAATAATTAAGTTCCTGTTACGAAGCCCACTAGCCCAACTATTTTTTATTATTTGATTAATAATTTGAATATTACTTTCTATTTTAAAATTAATTTTTTAAAATTAATTTTAAATTTTAACACATTATTCATCTGATCAATATTGGATACATGTCGCGATCTCGTGAGTTATAATTTTGCTTACGTGTTATGATTTTATAAAAACGCATTCTGGTAAATATATTTTATTTTAAAATTTATAATGCCTATAATTTGACAAATGTAACTAGATTCTAGATTACGATTCACAAATATTTAATATTTATTTTATTATTATATTTTATTAAATAGCCAATTTATTATATTTATCTCATACTAAAATTATCCATACACTTTATTATATTAGCAAAATCATTATTAAATATGACCTTTCTTTTTGTCTTTAACTATTTAGAAAATTTATAATGGAAAGAATTTATTTTGTAATATAAAAATTTAGAAATATTACATATTTTAGTATAACGGTTTTTTTTTGTTCTTAATTAGTTTATAATTCTTGTTTAGAATATATTCCTTATTTTCTTTTTAAATTATTTTGTTAATATTAAAAATACTACATATTTTAGTAGAACGGTTTTTTTTCTTAATTAGTCAATAATCTTTGTTTAGAATATATTCCTTATTTTTTTAAAATTTTTTTATTAATATTGACACATATCACAATCTAAATTAACAATTACACATGTCATGATCTCGTGAATAAGAATTTTGTTTACGTGTCGGGTACTCATCGTGTGCATCCTCCTTTATATAATAAAATTTGAATGACTCTATTTACACAATAATAAAATCTCTTATAAGAATGTCTCTACTAATCTACATAATCTAATCTACTAATATTAGTTGAGAATTAAAACATTAGACCAAAAGAACTCTCACATTTATTAATAATATTAATCTTAATCTTGACGAAAAAAAGATTTAGATGATAAAAAAACAAAAATTATTTTGAAAAAGACTAAGAAATTAACATTTGGTTTTATTTGTTAGTAGTTAATGGAAAAACTGCAAGAACAGTTTAATTTTATATTATTTTGATCTTTGAATATAAACCGGTTAAAACATAAATCCGGATATTATGAATAAAGTAATTTGGTTGAAAAAGAAAAGAAAAGAATAAAGTAAATTGAAGAATCAAAATTTCTTTTCATTCTTTTTAAACTAGCCACAAATAAATATCACTTTCTCTTTGTAATTAGATAAAACAAAAAATTTCATATATAAAAATATAGGGTGTGGATGGTTGATAAAAATAAAAATTCTTCTAACTTTTTCAAGACCCGTTATGAAGAGTATCAATTTTATTTTAT